TTGGTCTATTTCTTGACTTTCTAGTCTTTGTTTCCCCCTTTAATTTTAAGCTATTATAGTGTGTTTTAATGTCTTGTGTATCTCATTCTCCCTCATTTGTCCTTTGAGTTTTTTACTTCTTTCATTGTTTATGTGCCAAAGTTAGCTTCATTATAATTTTGTCAGGTTCCTTACAAATTCATTGTTGATGATTTCTTGGAATTGGATCTTGAGTTAATATTTTGACAGGAGTGAACTGTTTTATTTAAAGAACAAGGCTGTCTGCCCTGGCTGGTGTGACTCAGTGGTAGAGTGTTGGCCCATGGACAGTAGGGTCTCGGGTTTGACTCTGGTCAAGGGCACATACCTGGGTTGCAGACTCCTTTTCCATCCTCTTTCGAGGTCCATGTGGGAGACAATCAGTCAATGTGTCTCTCTCACATCGATGTTTTCCCCTGCCTCCCCTCCCCCTCTTTTTTCTCCCCTTCCACTCTTTAAAAATCAATGGGAAAATATCCCCGGGTAAGCGTAAGCTGTGTCTTTCTGTATATCTGTAGAACAAGGATGATCCTCTGAGTAAAATTCTTGATGTGGTTTCAGATTTTGCAATGCAACTAAGTTAAGAAACTATCACTTGTTAATTTTTGGTGTAGTAACACAGAATATCCACAGTTACGTGGAAAGATTATATGAAATGCTCCTCCCTCTTCCAGCTCTGTGTCTGTAGTAGGCTGGATTTTCTTCTTACACTTGAACTAAAACAACATACTGGAGCAGATCAGATACAGATGCAGATGTGAGAGTCCACTACCTTAAGTCAACCAGTAATCTACAGCAGTCCACTTCTCTCAGTGAGTTTTTATTGTTTGGAAATTGTATTTATTTTTCATGAAAATATTATTTATGTTAACATGAATGCATATATTGTCATTTAAAAATAAATTAAAAATTAAGTGTTTTTAAATCTTCTCAGTTTTAATTTCTAAGAGGGTAAATTTCAGTAGCATCACCTACATAGACAAGGCTTCTTGTGGTTCACATTCAATTTTAAGAAGATAAAGGGGTTGCTACATCCAGAAAATTTGGGAACTACTAATTTGAGATGGACCAGCAGGGCAGTTTGTTGTAGGAGAAGAGATGGGCTTTGGTGTCAGCAGCCAGGCTCAGATTCCAGGTATGCGATTTCCTAGGGACAAATTATTTTTAACTCCATTGGGCAAATTTTTCTTTTTGAGAGCCAGTTTCCTCACTTGTAAAAATGGCAATGAAAAAGCTGTTTTAGTTGTTAAAGGTAAGTAGTTTGATGCTGTTTTTTAATTTATTTGGTGTTACAATGACAGGAATGACTATGTCCAATCATTTTTTAAAAAGAGATTGGGAAATTTCTTTTTTTTTTTTTTGGGGGGGGGGGGAGATTTCTTAAAGATGTTCTGCCCATATGTATAAAATATTCATGTCTAAAACCTCTTCACTTATAAATTCATACATATTTTCAAGTATACATGTAAACTTAAGTTTTTACAATTAGAAAAGCAGTAAAACGAATTCAGAACATATACTTCGGTATCATGACACAGATGGTAATTCTATAAAGAAATGGCCTATATTTTTAAAAGTGCAAACAGAAAAACAGAGATTCTTAAAAATTCCAGAGTAATCTTTGCCTAGAAAATGAAGGGGGGAAAAAAGACCATATAGCCTAATAGAACTTTTTATAGTTTCTCATGTCTCTAGAATTGAATCTTATTTATGTAGTGTTAGTATTGAGTTGCATATGGATTGGTAGTTGAAAAGGAAATAATCGATCAAGTAGATAATTGCCAAGTCCTTTTATTGTGGTGATCAGTCTCTTGCTTTCTATGAAATGAATGCAATAGTGGGAAACAGAACCATGTGACCCCAAATTTACTGAGGTTAATTTACATGTGAATACTTGTCACATGGGAGCAATTATAAACACATCAGCCTCAAGGTGCCTATCATTGTGGAGCAGTGTTCTTATTAGTTCACTGCACTGTTCATTCCACACATACTTATTGAGGACTTTCTTTGGGCCTGGTGTAAGCTAGTTGCTAGGGATAAAAAGTTGAGAAAAAAATTGACACACTCTCTGTTAGGATGATAGATAATTATACAAATAGGTCTAAACATACATACTAGATGGAAATTCTAGGCAGGAGAGGTATACAGCTTTCTGAGAGGCTGGGATTAGGGCATTTCATATAGGAAGATAAGGGTGTGATTCTTTAGCAATTGAGAGGTAAGCTGAAAAAACAACAACAAATACACATTTCAAATCAAAGGGCCAGTAGCTTAGAAGTTCTGTATTTAGAGACACTGTGATGAATATGGATGCTTTCAGTGTGAGTGGAGCAGAAATCAAGTAAAGAATGGACATACCATTTAGAACCTTATGGGCCACATTATGGAATTTTATTACTTTATTCTAAATAATGACAAATTGTCCTTTCATGTGAGGAACGAGAGAGTGAAGGTGGTCAGGGTATCTCATTAACATACCTGATTGGAATTTCATGTCTAAAATTCATTTACTCATAATTACTGAGCATCTTCTACACCCTTGGTCTGGTCCTGGACTCTAGGAAGACGTCAGTGGATAAAGTAGGATTAAAATTCCTGCTTTTGTAAAGCGTACATTCTTTAATATAAAGAGGTGGAGAAAGACGACCAACATAATAAATCCGACTAACATGATGCAAACACATTATACATCTTTTTACCAGAAAGCCAATTTGTTCATTTTTGCTTACTATTTATTTCCTTGTCTCTTGCTATTTCTGTTGATTTTTTTTCTTGTTTTTATTTTTTGTTTTTAAAATTTTAACACACACACACACACACACACACACACACACACACAGAGTTATTCCCAAGTGAACTAATTCTTTTATTTTACTTACATTTTACATAAGCTACTTTCTAATGGCAAATAGTAATTCATCTTAATTATATATCAACAAAATATCTAAATTCTGTTCCCTCCAATAGGCTTTTTATTCTTGTCAAAAGAGATTAGGCCGAAATTGGTTTGGCTCAGAGGATAGAGCATTGGTCTGTGGATTGGAAGGTCCCAGGTTCGATTCCGGTCAAGGGCATGTACTTTGGTTGCAGGCACATCCCTGGTGGGGACATGCAGGAGGCAGCTGGTCGATGTTTCTCTCTCATCGATGTTTCTAGCTCTCTATCCCTCTCCCTTCCTCTCTGTAAAAAAATCAATAAAACATATTAAAAATAAAATAAAATGTATAAATTACTTCTAAAAAGAGAGAGAGAGAGATAGATTAGGTATTGTGGTATGTCTTACTTTGTGTATAAAACCTATACTGTCTACTTAAAAGGAGTGACCTGCCAGCTAAAGAAAATTGTCATTTTATTATCTAATTTTCATAAATGCCCGTATTTTTGTCAAACAAACAATATATGTTAATAAATGTTACATGTTTATGCTTTGATACAAGGTAGTGGTACTTGGATACTGAGTTCATCTGATATACAATAATGTTAAAAAGTAACTGGTGTTCCAAATATTTATATGCATTTTGTTTTTTGCAACATGCTCAAAAACATAGGACATGACAATAAGACTTTTTAAAATTGCTTCTTCTTTATAGAGATAATGTTGCTGATCCCCCAATAAGTTGTCTGATCTGACTGCTTTACTATAAATGATTTCATGTAGATTCTGGCTACACAGTAAGCAAGTTCCACCTATAACTAAATTAATCATTTGTAAGACATCTCTCTCCTTTCAACTTCTACTGCGTTATCATCACTATATCACTAATGGATTTGTGTTATAATTTATCCGTTGATCAATCTCCTACTGGATTATGAGACCATAAACCCTTTATTATTCTGCATTTTACTACACAGTGCTAGGTATATAGTAGAACTTTGTAAATGCACAGTGAATTAATGAATCTCATCAAGGTTAGGGGAGGTCAGAATCTTACTCTTAACTTTGTTAGCATTTTGCTCAAGTTCAAACTTGTTACATTATACTTTGATGGTTGCACAAACTGCAGGACATGGCCACAGAGGAAATAAACCATTCGAAGTAAACAATTATTTCTGTGATCAGTTAATTTGAGTTAGGAAGCCAATTTATTTTTCTTCTGAAATGACTTTCAGTCTGTACAGAATTGAAATCCTGTCATTTCAATGATGGAACAGTGTACAAAAAAAAGTTTAGAAATTATGTTTCTGGATATAGAAGTAAAAATTGCCATTGGACATTGCAAAAAAGAAGAGGAAGACATAATTCTGGAACTATGTTTCATGACCTTCTTCCCAGTAGATCTCCACTGGCCATACCCAATTGTACGGGAGTGCCAGAGGTGGGCACCGGGCCGGGGGAGGGGGAGGGGAAAGAAGGTGAGTAGGCCTGGAAGGGAGAGAGCAGCATTGCTGAGCTTTCCTAGAGAGCTTATCCCAGATTTTGGGATGCTTTTATCTTTTTGTATTTACAGGTGTTTACATTTTTAAAAACATGTATAAGTTGTTGAGGAATCCACTAGGCTTGATATTCTCTAAGTTTTCATAGTTCCTCCTCCTCTAAGTGTTTGGTGTTTGTGGGACACACTGGTGGCTGGGCCCTGTGTGAAGTAGTGCTGAAGGTGAGCATTAGGAAAGACCTGAATTTAGCATTATTTGTCAAATGCTGATTACATAGGAGGCACTGATCTATATATTTCGTTGGGGGAAATGGGTAGGAAAAAAACACACCTGTTTTAATGGACTTGACCTTCTTGTGAACATACCTGGGTGTCTTTGTTCAAAAGCTAAAGGATTGAAACTGAGTAAGATAAAAGTTTTGTGAAAAAATTTTTATTGTGACCTTTTAATAATATTCATTTATTTATTTATTTTAGAAAATGCCTCCAAAAGGTAGATGAAGCTGGAAAAACATGCAGATGCAGCGTTGCATATGGCCTGTCCTAATGTTCAAGGACAGTATTCCAGAGAGAAATTGATTCCCTTGGATTTGGTCACCAGTCATAATGAAGAAAATCAGTCTTAAAACCTTCCGGAAGTCTTTCAATTTGACTAAAAGTAAAGAAGAAGCAGATTTCATGGTAGTGCAACAGCCCTCACTAGCTGGTGATTTTGGGAAAGAAGATTCCTTGTTCGGTAGCTGTTATGGGAAGGACATGGCCAGCTGCGACATCAACGGTGAAGATGACAAGGGGGCCAAAAACAGATCCAAAAGCGAAAGCCTCATGGGCACGTTAAAAAGACGGCTTTCGGCCAAGCAGAAGCAGAAGGGCAAGGGCAGCGCCCCCTCCGGGAGCTCTGCTGACGAGGACACCTTCTCCTCCTCCTCAGCACCCATGGTCTTTAAAGATGTGAGAGCTCAAAGGCCCATCCGGTCCACGTCCCTCCGCAGCCATCACTACAGCCCTACGCCATGGCCTCTGCGGCCCACAAACTCTGAGGAGACATGTATCAAGATGGAGGTGAGAGTCAAGGCCTTGGTGCACTCTTCCAGTCCAAGCCCAGCCCGCAACGGGGTTCGCAAGGACTTCCGTGACCTTCAGTCGGACTCGGTGTGCCAGGAACAGAACAGTTCCCTGAAGAGCTCAGAGTCTCCCAACGGAGACCTGCACCTTCACCTTGATGAGCATGTGCCTGTCGTTATCGGACTTATGCCTCAGGACTACATTCAGTATACTGTGCCTTTAGAGGAGGGGATGTACCCTCTGGAAGGACCCCGCGGCTATTGTCTGGACGGGTCTTCTCCCATGGAAGTCTCTGCGGTCCCTCCTCCGGGGGGAGGGAGCTCCTTCCCCGAAGACGAGAATCAGGTTGACCAGGAGCTCGTGGTGGCCCCCGAGATCTTTGTGGATCAGTCGGTGAATGGCCTGTTGATCGGCACCACGGGGGTCATGCTGCAGAGCCCCAGAGCAAGTCACGACGATGCCCCTCCGCTCTCACCGTTGCTACCTCCAATGCAGACGAATCCGATCCAAAGGAACTTCAGCGGGATCACCGGCGCAGACGCCCACGTGGCAGAGAGTATGCGCTGTCATTTGAACTTCGATCCTAACTCTGCCCCTGGGGTTGCCAGAGTTTACGACTCAGTGCAGAGTAGTGGGCCCATGGTTGTGACAAGCCTTACGGAGGAGCTGAAAAAACTTGCAAAACAAGGATGGTACTGGGGACCGATCACTCGCTGGGAGGCAGAAGGGAAGTTAGCCAATGTGCCCGATGGCTCTTTCCTTGTTCGGGATAGTTCTGACGACCGTTACCTTTTAAGCTTGAGCTTCCGCTCCCATGGCAAAACACTTCACACTAGAATCGAACACTCAAATGGTAGGTTTAGTTTTTATGAGCAGCCAGATGTGGAAGGACATACGTCAATAGTTGATCTAATCGAGCATTCAATCAGGGACTCTGAAAATGGAGCTTTCTGCTATTCTAGGTCTCGGTTGCCCGGGTCTGCAACTTACCCCGTCAGACTGACCAATCCGGTGTCCCGGTTCATGCAGGTTCGCTCTTTGCAATACCTGTGTCGCTTTGTCATACGTCAGTATACCAGGATAGACCTAATTCAGAAACTGCCTTTGCCTAACAAAATGAAGGACTATTTACAGGAGAAGCACTACTGAAATTAGGGGAGCCCTGAGTCCTGCACTTTGGGAGGAAGGAAAAGAGATTGAAATACAGTTTACAGATGTTCATTGCTATCAGAATCTTTGCTGCCATTCTATTTCAGTTTTCTATGTAAAAGAGTAATCAATTTGTTTTTAGGTGGGAAGTATGGGCAAGGTATCTTGGTTTTATTTTGGTTCTTTAAAAAGGGAATCTTGAGGCTTAACAAGTGTGAGTTCTCTTTCATCAATGTGCAGAATAATCACAATGTGAATGATCAAATACTCCTTTCCCCCACCCCCCGTCCTTTGCTGCTATCCACTGTGATTTTTATGCATTAAAAGCACATTTCATGTGTATTCAACCCTAAGTAAAGTTGAATGAAACTTACAGAATGAAAATTGTCATGTCTCTTTAAATGGCCCATTTTCAAAGATAATGTTGAGAGATCATACCCTTGTGATAGAACACAGAATTTACACGTACACTGAAAATGATTTTTTATTCTCATACTTGAGAAAGATTTATTTAGAATTATGAATTGATGTAATCTTGGGTACTGGAATGTGGACCTGCAATGTATCTTTTATAACACTCATTTCTAAATTATTTTAAAGACTGTGCTGTTTTTTTGTTTTGTATTGTGAAAATTTGAATTTTTCTGTTGCCTTCATTTTCATCTTGTGATTTGTCTATTTTAATAAATGGCCTTACATCAAAAAGTCATAAAGAACTGCATATCACCAGTTTAGAAATTGTTGCCTTTTCTGTCTTAAGTTCTGGTACAAATTGGCATAACAAACAAAGATCTATGGCATTAGAGATATTAAAGAAGTGCTAGATGGTCATAGTTTCCTGTGATAGTTTTTGTGTGTGTGTGTTATCTTTATTTTCCTTTGCTAAAATGTTTTTTTGTCTGATTTCTTTCGTTTAGTCAACATTTTATTGGGTGAACTTGGTATAGAATTGATTTTCATAAATGGACTAGATTCTCTTGGAACATTAAAGTTTCTATAAAATTGAAACTGATTTGAATAGAAAGAAAACACTGTTTTAAAGTTGGATTTATGTTTTCTTATGTATAGTCACTATTAAGATGTGCTAGATTTGACCTTTCATTCATCCCTCCAAGAAAACAAACAACAAACCCAGTGACTTTAGTTGAAAATTTGTAGAAATTGCGAACACCATTGTTTAATGTTTAAGAAAAACATTAAAACTATATCATATATGTGGAAGTCTTGTTGCCTTCTATATATACTGCCATTTAAAAGCCGGTTTTTATTGTTTTATTTTTTTTAAGTCTTAGGTAAATTGGCATTGTTAGTTATTTTAACTTTTAGATTCAATTTTTTTTTTTTTTTTTTTTTGCGGGGAGGTGATATCCCCAGTACTTTGTAGTTATTTTGAAATGTAGTGTTGACCCACTTCATAATTCTTTAGTGTAGTATTTGGGGATTGCCTCATCCAGAAAATGTTTTCATCTCAGATGCAACATGTAATTTACAACAGTTTTACCTTTGTCACTCAGTTTTCCTAGCTTTCACCCCCCCCCCCCCCCCCCCCCCCCGCCACACACACACCCCACACACCTCTGTTTAAGAACAAGAGTAAAGGTCTTAGGTCAAATTTAATGACTTTGTCATTCAGACATAGTATAATAGTATCCCCCCCTTTTTTTTTCTCTATTTGTTTTTTAGGGTCAGAACTGAGATATAAGAAAAAAAAGGCACAATGCCATAACATGGTGTTATGGTATTTTAACGTAAAAGGGGAAAGGTACTTAATTTTGGAGTAATGTTGATTGTACCTTGTTCAAAGCCTCATTTTCTGATGTTTTCACCTAAGAAGATGGAGTGTTGAGTATACTGTAATAATATAATTTAAGTGTTCACTATAAGCTATTTGGATTAAGAACTATTACAGAGTTGTAATCTTATCAAATTAATGCAAGACATTTAAACTATTTTTTTGCAAAACTATTTATTTTTAAACAATTTAAAGTCTATCTAGGGTGAGTTAAAAGTCCCTGTGCATCTATATTAGATGGCAGATATTGTCACAGAGTCACTGTGTATTAATAATAGATGTTGAGATGGCTTCTCCATGTTTCTAGAAGCATTTACATGTACCCTTTGTGAGATCACAGTGCACAGAGGTCTTTGGACAGCCCAGAACCCCATCTCAGCATGCGGGCGAAGCCTGTTCCTTTCATTTTCTTCATGGGAATGTGTTTAAGATCTAGCCATTTAGTTTCCAGTTAAAATTATTATGATTCTCATCTGAGTGTTTTTAAAATTGTATTTTGTGTTTTTATGGAGAGCAAATGTTGATACTCTTCTAATTTAGAAAGTCAGTTCTTATGTGCTTTTGTATATTCATATATCAAATTCTTTAAAGTAAAATGTCCTCTTCTAATTGAATTTGAAATTCCTAGGGTCTGATACTCTGTTGATAAAAGTAAAAGTATTTGCCAAGAAATTATTTACAAAAAAGAGAGAAGTATTGCAGTATTTTCTGCTTTTGCCTAGAGAGAACCATTTGGAATAGGCAATGCAATTAGGAAAGATTGGCTTTACAGGATCCTAAAACAATTTGATTAAAAATGGGAAGGGGAAATGAGAGATAAATGTAGTTTGGTCTAGATACAATTTGGATAAATTTCTGGATTATATTGAATGGTGGCTTAGTTGATATGGACTCAAACAGGGAATGATTTTTAAATATGATTCTAAAAGTCTGAACTCAAGGCATGAAAGAAAACAAAAGCTGTATCGTTTTGCCATACTAAAATGAACCATCTGTTTTTATCAAATATTTGATCAAAAACCACGATGGAGGCCAGAGCTATTTCCAGACTTAGTAGGACACTATTATGCATTTTTATAAAAAGGAAGCTTAGAAAGTACTTGAAAAATATCTCACTCTTTCTAAAGAAAACTGTTATGTTTCTACTTGGTGCAATATCTGAAGATTTCGAAGTCAAAAGTATTATATCAGAGGAAATGATCACAGAGCTAAAAATAGTTTTTAAGGAAGCCAGCTGCACAGGGCAACCTTCTTGCTATGAAGAAAATCGTGTGCCAAAGGCTAAGTCATTGGCACATAGGAACTACAATCAAGTATACATTTTCTTTTCTGAGCCAGTATTATTGAAACAGGACAAAAGTTACTAACATCTTAAATAGAGGATATATGCCATTTCTCTGCTTGTGCTAAAGTCTAAGTATCTTAACAGCGTTTTCAGAAACACCAGTCTTAATCATCGTCCATTTCACATTGTATACGACAGATTTGCTTCATGAGTGATTCTGATAATATATTTTCAATCTTAGTGGGTTTTCATGAAATGTGCAGTCTGATTTTGAAATTGAAATCTCTACCAGCATTAGACAGTTTTGTTGAAAACTATTACTTTGAATTAGGAACAATGGCCAGTTCCATAAATAACTTAAAAATTCTGAAGTATGGGTATACTAGTAATCACAGATTTGGTTTCTTCAAGTACTTTTTTAATCCTGCAAAGATGGTTTTTTATAAACATCCTTTGTAATAATTAGTCACAACATGGCAGATGCTGTTTCTGAAAAGTGATTCAAACAGCCCATCCAGAGGTGATGAGAAATTCTTACAGAATTTTGTAATAGGTGTACACGTTGGGTTAAAGGAATTTTGTAGTCAGAGTGCCATGAAATTAATCCTTGCAATCCAGATTGCTGTAGTTTACACTTTTCTGTATGTTTCCAATCAAGTGTGTATCATTTGTACGAGAGCACCACACAATGAATTATCCAAAGTCCATTGATTTTAATACGTGTTTTGGTTTGTACACGAATTATAGTAATTTCTTGCACATTTTTGGAAATAATTGTATAAGAACTTATGTATCTGCTTCTAGATACAGTATGTAAATAAAAATTTCATTCCCAAGATCTGCCTTGTAGTGTATTTAATAACCATGTGCAGATTTTAATTCATAGAGGATTAAGTAGGTAATTTCTAGGTGTCCCATAAACTAGGACCAGCAAACTTTAGTAAAAAAGGGAAAAGTGAAATAGTGTCATTCAAGGGAGACATCAAGTTAGGAGTCAGCCAATGTTGCTAATAACTTGAAGCTTTTGACATAAAGGCTGAAGATAATAGACAGAACATTTAAACAAAGGATCGTTAAAATTATCACAATATAATTGTTTCGATTGTGACATTTAAAAAAGTATGTCTCATTGCTTAATAGTATTTCATAGAACTAGAACCAAGTTATCCTAGTGCATTGTGCAGAAGTTATTTAGATATTCACAGCCAAGAATTTTTTATTTTTTTTAATTGTCTAAAGTTTACCTATGTCTCCTTTTTCCCCAATTGACCCTTCCCCAGCCATTCCTATCTGGAGCAAGCCCCCACCACTCCAGTGTCTGTGTCCATTGGTTATGCTAATATTCACGCATACAAATCCTTTGGTTGCTTTCTAACCTTCCCTCCTCTACCATTTGTCTCTAGATCAATCTATTCTTCATCAAATGTGTGTCCTTATTCTCCCTTACCCCCCTTCCCCATTCACGCCCTTATTCCCCTGTTGTCTGTGTCCATTGATTAGGCTTACATGCATGTATACAAGTCCTTTGGCTGATCTCTCCCCCTGTCCCCCACCGTCTCCTACCTTCTCTGAGGTTTGACATTCTGATAGATATTTCTCTGTTTCTGGATCTGTTTTTGTTTATGTTCATTATGTTCCATAAATGAGTGAGATCTTGTGATATTTATCTTTCTCTGCCTGGCTTATTTCACTTAGCATAATGCTCTCCAGCTCCATCCATATTGCAAATGGTAAGAACTCCGTTTTACCGCAGCATAGTATTCCATTTGGTAGATGTACCACAGTTTTTTAATCTACTCATCT